AGTTGCTGTTCCGTTTTGTTTCTGAAAACAGCCCACAGCTTGCGTTCGCAGAAGCGAAAGGAAAACACTTGAATGCAATATGCAAAAATAAAAACAAAAAAAAAGTCAGATCCTGTACATCTTTCTCACTGGGCAAATAGTGCCATGGAGTCTGTGGATGCGGTATACACAGAGCTTGTGCTGCGCATAGGCGGACACATGTCTCCAGCAAGGAGAGGAGGCCCCAACTGTGATTGCTAACAGTATTATTATGCTGAAATGTAATAGGCGAATAAAAGATGCAAGGATTGGGTTTTTCTTTCTTTCTTTCGTTTTTTCTTTTTTGATTTGGGTTCATTGTGAACCCATTCATTCTTTTTTGTTTTGTTTGTTTTTACTGCTTTTTCTCCTGCTAAGACCAGCATGTCTTATCTGTGGCTTTGTCGCTTTGGTCAGTTTGCATCCCTTTTTAATAGTTGTTTATCTTTTTGAATTAAGTTATGTTGGTTTAACACTATTACAGAAGCCGAATCTCACAGAAGTGCTTGGATGTCCCTGGCTTTTTCAATTGGGTACAGTATGTCACTAGAACAGTTAAAATTCACCAGTGTCAGGGTAATACACCCAGTGTGCAATCACATCATGCGCTGGCTCTGGAGCTTTTATTGCTTACGCTGTCACTGCATATTAGGAATTAGTGAGCAATGTGGACTAGATTGGTTTAGACGTGTCTTATGTATTATTGTTAACACAGCCTGACAGACCGCACTACCCCAGCTGTGTTGCGTTTGGTAGTACCGGAAGGAATATCGGCCACTGTAGTAGTTTGGACTGCGGGTTCGTTTGCAGCCTCAATTTCTTATTTATGCATAGCTGTGTGAAACATGGTCTGTAGAGATCACTTGACCTCTTTCCAGAGATGAATCTATCCAGAGATTTTTAACCCAAAATAGCTTGTGAATTCTGTGTAGATTTAGAAAAGCGTACATTATCCATGAGGAGTATTTTCAAACTTGTTTGACTTTACACACTAGATTTCCTAAGGAGCAATTTGGTGGATAATACAGGATATTTAAGAAAATACTATCTTTCAGCAGAAAGCAGTAGAGAGAACATTTAATGAGTATGGAATTAAGTGAGGCAAGTTGTTCAGCTCTTTGTGAAATTGGTGGCAAATTTTGGTCCATGCTTACAGGGCCTGATCCTATTGCTGTTGAAACATTTGAATCATTTGTGGACTGTGGATAGGCAGTAGATCTTTAGTGCTGAGGCAGACAAATACATGCATTTTTCTGAGTGCTCTGAATTTGCTTCACATTTGGCTTATTTATGTTCTGTGAAAGATCATATGTGATGATAATAGGTTCGGCAGTTTTAAAGATCTGTATGTCTCAAATAAATTGGACAAGTAAGAACTGATTTGAAACATTCTGTGTTTATATCTATGCAGTGGTGTGGAAAGACTCCAGCCTGCCGACTCGGCTCTTGGGGTGAAGCAGGAAAGAGAGGCTAGCTATGACAGTTTTAAGCAGGGAAGAAGGTGAGGGAATGGGAAAAGATGAGGAAGAGAAAAAACCCTGAAAAACAGGAGACATGAATTGTAAGACTTGAAAAGAAGAACAGAAGGAACAGGACAAAGGAGGCAGGAAGCATGAGGAGACTGAAGTGCAAGTGTTGAAGAAAAGATGAGGGAAGCAAATAGAGGAAAACAGAAAGACTATGAAATCATTAAGTCTTTTTTTTTTTTTTAAGTATGTAAAGCCAAAAATATTCCAAGATGTGAATGTGTATGTATAGAAAGGAACATATAGTTTGATACTATTTAAATATAGCCTGTAATCTTCAATTTTGTAACTCCAGTTGGAGCACCTGTGGGCTTAGCGGAGCTATATCCCATCTAGTTATACTAATACAAGGCCGGACTGGTGCTATCTAACGTACAGATACGTTCCTCCACCTCATTGCTGTTCTGCCCTGGGTTCTCCCCGTTCTGCCATGCAGCCGGTGATGACAAACAGGGAGGCCTCAAGAGCTGGTTCTGCGGCAGTGACTGCCAGTGAACGGACGGATCCAGACAGATCCGTTATCTGGTCTTGAGATGTAATATCAAATTGTGTGTGATGTGAGGGTGGACATGAGGAACATCATTGTTATTGTGTTTTGGGGGGTGAAGTGGGATATTTGAAGTGTGGTAGCAGCCAACAGAATGGCAGAATGGTAAAGCCATCGCATCCAGTGCATGCCTAAAGCATGTGCTAAGCAGACATTAAAACACCAACAGAAAAAATCAGGAAAACTTTTCCAGTGAGGAAAGCAGCCTAACATGTTCCTATAAAATTTGTTTATCTGGGAAAATGAGTGTGCTAGTTAATGACAGCCTCCAATCTGAGATCACACTGCAGCATTAAACACCTCTAAACGAGCAGTTTTTACATGTGTGTGTGGAACATTCTGTCTAGAAGGTCAACTGAGAAGTGGCAGGAGGGACACCAACGCAAACAAGTCCAAAGCAGTCCAAAGGCACATTTTCTGGAGTCCTTTCTAGTCTCCACCTTTTGAGTTCTTCCTTCTTCCAAACTATAGTGTGAGAATTTAGAATTCATGATGACACATATTAGGAAACCTAAAAGTACATGACAGTTAGAAAAGAGACAGGAACTTAGTGCTCACATCTTCTGTATCCCAGGGTAAAGGAAACATGCTCTGTACTGCTATGTGTCTGCACAGCTGTGGTATTATTAGAAATTCATTTCAAACTGAGGAGCTCAGAATAAAACTCAGGAATTGTTGTACTGCTTGGTTTACCCCAGTGATTTTTACAACCAACTAATCTGAATCCCTTTATTCCTTGGAAATTTTCAATCCTCCTGAAGGTGTGAGCATCTTCCCACACTGTCAGATTTGGATATTTAATCTAGAGAATGAACTTGAGTCAAAATACAGCTCCTTTGGCAATGGAAACTTCTTTTGAAGTTTTTGGATCTTCTACGTTCCATGTTTCCTGTTTTAAATTAAGAGAACAAAGCACTCTCAGTAGTGCACAGTAAGCAACCTGTGAAATGTGTATATCAAACATCTGGCTGGCTGACATGATGAGCCAGACAGAAGAAGAAGGTAGGTGGCATCCCATTCATCTTCTCATCAAACAGCTCGCCTGGGGTAAGAAAAGCTCATTGGAATTCATCCACCTCATAACAGAAACTGAAGTCGGAGCTAACATCAGTTGGCTGTACTGTCAGCTACAGGCCAGCCAGGCCAAAGTCTTCATGAAAAAAACTTATGCCAGTGCTTTGTCCATTAGAATGGCGAAATACCCCATACTAGGGTTTCTAGCACTTAACACTGACGATCTCCTGGACACAGAAAAAATTGTATCTACCTTTCACTGATTTTCGTATGTCATTTCTGATCCAGCTCACATAGACCTTGCGTTTATTCTCATGAATGAGTAGCAGTGTTTGTTCCATGTCCATAAACTCTCTCAGCTTGCAGGCAAAAAAGTTCATGGCCCTTCTACGCTATGAAGCTTCTTAGGGTATGCCTGTTTTGCATACATGGAGATGCCCAACCCGGGTGAGGTCTGTGGCATTACAGCTTTGTGCCCAAATTAACAAGGCATTGAAATCAACTTGAAACTTTCCTAATTGCACAGGGTCTAGAATATTATTTTCAATTAGAAATAGCATTGGATGTAAGGTGGAAATCAGGTTAGCAGCCCTGATTGTCACAGGCTGAAGGATGCACGCTCATCTTCATGGGCTCCACTGGAGCCCTCAGTGTTAGACTGAGGCAGGGCTGTGTCTGTGCAGAAAATGGGAGGAAGTACAGTAGAGATTCCAGCACCACTGAGATGCAGTGGACAAACTGTTCTACTTTTCTTTCACCAAAATTATTGCTGCCACAAGGCTGGACGTAATCAGCTGTGAGTAAAGATTGGGTAGCTGAAGCTGAAGCTGAGCAAGGCAGATGAGAGGACGAAAGAGGAGAGCTGGAGGAGCTGGCTAGTTCCTTTGGCAAAGTCTGGGCACCCTCACTTGGGCTGTGCAGTGTAGTTAGTAAAAACACTGCTGGATTCCTCTGCGACAGCACCTGTGATTAACATTTTCTGCCATCTCTAGCTGGAGAGCAGAGTCTGTCCTATCCAGATGATGCATTGTCGGGATTTTACAGGAATCTTATGTCCTGTCTGGACTAGAGCAATGCAATATATACAAGGGCATAGCGCCATGGGTTCTTGGGAACTGCAGACACACAGAGTGCTGCAGAATTTCATCTCAGCAGTGGTGGTACCTGTGGTAGCATAACGCACCATTTTTTTCCTTTAAATACTGCTACAGCTCCTGGGCTGTTTGGCAGTCTGAGCAGGGAGCAGGAGCCCATCATGGTGTCTGAATTGCTGGTGTCACCTAGTTTGTCAGACTGTCTCAGAGGGGATCTGGAACATCTCTTAGGTTTAAACATCTGTTGTATTTATTAGCCTGTGTTGATGACTGAGGAAATATATCATTGAAATAGGTTTGACAAATAAGATATGCCATTTTTGGATTAAGTTTAGAAAGTGTAATGTATATCAATAACTATTTGATCATATAATTCATGTATAATAATAAACATCATATACGATCATAAAAGTAATAAACATCATTGCATAACATCTATCTTTGCAAAATATCAAGGCCAAGGATCAAGGTTACAGATAAAATGGCAAGTACAGTATGTGGGAGATGGAAAGACAAATATTTCACCTTCTTAAAAGATTTAGTAATCAGTATGCTAGGGTATTATCCTTTAAGTGATTAACTGTTGTTTGGTCAGAGTAACTCGAGTGTTTATTGGCAGGTTTTTTTTATTGTTGTGATCTGGTCCTTTTGCCTCTCTGATTAACAAGATTTTATGATTCACTCTTCTGAATGGTTCAGGTGCTGACTTGCAGGTAGAAAATGTTGGTCAGCCTGATAGTGAAATATAAATGTATTTCTTTTTTTAAGAATATATTAATGTAAGTCTTTCTTTTAAACCAGTTCTGTAAATGGATCAGAAAAACATCCCCATGCTGAAAGAGACTTGAAGGCATTTGAACTTAGCTGTCTGGCATAAACTCCATAGCGATGTCAGGTGGGTACTGTTCTTCTACTACTACCATTTGGGTGAGGGTTGGCTGGTTATTGCAAACCAGGAGTCATGAGCACTGTGGGAGAGGGCAGTCGAAGAAGGCCTGCTGGAGTAAGCTATAGGCCTGCACAGGCCATCAGTGTTGTGCAGGAGGAGGAGATCTGCAGCGTGAAGCTGTTGGTGCTGAGGGCCTAATGTCCACATTAATGCATTTTTGAGGTGTTGGACTAGCTCTGGTTTGGTCCCACACATGCTGCTAGTGGCTGGAGCACGTGGAGGTGCTTCTGCTTTAGTTTCACCTCAAAGCAATGTGGTTTGTGTGCTTTGAGGCTGCACCATGGTTTGTCAGGAGAGTTGCTGCAAAAGCGCATGCCTGATCTGAACTACAAATTATTGTAGACACAGCTGTTAAAAGTCAAGTTTTTAATCTCATGAACAAGTAAATGGATATGTAAAAACCTGGGAACAGGATCTTTGAGCAAGTGGCAATACTAATTCTGTGACTTCATATTGCTAGCTAAAATTGAGGCCTGCAAAAGAATACCTGTTAAAACATCTTTTACTGTTGTTGACTTGGTAGCAGATACAAGAGAAAACAGAGATGTATTTTCTAGGGCTGAAACAAAAAGAAACAAGGGAATCAGCATTAAAGCAAGAGGATAAGACTCTAGAAACACTACCACAATAATGTCTCTCTGATAGCTGCAGAGAGCATTTTGACATAAGCTATGGTGAATAAGCCACTGGATTCAAGACTGCATGCATAAAGTAGTTCTAGTCTACACTATGATTCGCAAATGTTTATATATGTGTGTGTGTGTGTGTACAAATAAATAAATTCTCTGAACCAAAATCTAGTTATATGAACTGAAGAAGAGATGGTTCCTAAACATGCTCAGGTACAGTATCGTCGGTTGCCCGACTAAAGAGATACAGAGGAATGAGATTAAGGGACCTGACAGCGCTCTGAGACAAGTGAACTCTATGTTATGGTGAGTGTATCAGCATAAGGGGGTGAAAAGGATACCATAAAGAAAGAAAAACACTGCATACCTGCTCTAACAGTGTCTCAGATAATGTTTACTATCGTCCCAAATTTGAAATGCTGTCATTTTAATAAATGATGAAAATTCTGCCTATTAAGCTATGTTGTTCGGGTGTCACTGAAGCAACATGAACTCCTACAAATCTAAACAGACTTTCAGCAAAACAGAGTTCTCTAAAGCACTAACACAATTAACTTACCACGTTGTTTTATTGGGGGAGGGGAAAGCCTTTTAAAAAGTAATACTTAAGCGTGTTGGTTTTTCTTTTTAATATGCAACACTCTCTCACATCTTGTCTTTGCGGCTAATCCTTTTTTTTTCTGGGATGAAGGAAACTATGAATGTGGGTTGCTTAATGGGTTCAAGTTACTTTGTATTAATTTGACTGTAAGATAGCATTGGAACTACAGTATCAAGTGAAAAACTTGTGAACTCTAGTTAAGCACATTTTGATCCTGGTCATATTGGCTGCTTAAAGTGTACTTAAACACAGCTTGAACTGGTTTGGATTTGTTAAGTTTGCCTCTTCTGTCATTTCATTTTTCTGACCTGATTTGTATTCCTGCCCTCCAGCTTAATGTTGCTCAGAAATCTCTTGTTCTCCTTCACAGTTAGGCAAATGCCTTTGCTCTTTTTTACCTAATCTTAAGCTATTGATCAGATCCCTTCATTAAATATTCATTTTTTTTTAACCTGTCTGGGTCCATCCCCTACTTTACTTTAAATAGTGCAGTGCAGACTGACACCATCTGAGAGTCCTGGCCGACCTTCTCAGCCCACTCCTGTTTCCAAGAGCAGGGCCTTAAACTGAGCCCTAAGGGGCCTGGGCTACTACACAGGTAAGTTCTTTAAAAAAAAAAAAAA